TTCTGCGCCCTGTTGCACGGACAATTAAGACACGTCAGCTGCCACAGACCAAGAGCGGGTTGGCTCCATCTCTATCACACGTTGTTTGCGGTCGGTCCGTGTTGCGGTGGACTCGGAAGGAGGCCAATTGTCCGCTGCTTCCGCCGCTCGGCCCAGCCAGACGGTGCGGGGGGAAAGTTGTTAATGTCGACATGCTAGACGGGGATGACCTTTTTCTTTCCAGTCCTCAGTCCTTCCAGTCAAGATCCCACCTTGACAAAAAAACTGCTATAATTGAGATCTGGAATGATGCGCCATTTATAGAGAGCCTTTCATCATGTGGTCTGATTGCCTGTTCGAAGTTACTCAACACCGGCATTATCAGCTCCCAAGAGGCAGGGAATATCACTTTCAGTGAGTCGGCAGAGTCTTGGAAAGGACGAGTGGCAGAAACGACGCTCACGGCGTCTTACCTCTTAAGGAACACCAGCGTCTCGGTAGTGACTTGCGATTTGTCCTTTAATTAACGACCGACGGACTTGGTCAACTTTTCACTCAGCCGTAATTCATGATGAACAAACAGACGGGGTGCAGGCATTAATCAGCAACGAAACAAGTTTGACGTTTTCAAAATAGGCACCCGTGCGGCGCCTTCACTCCGGGCCGCCTCTAATTCATCAACACTAATGATGCGCGGACGAAACCGGGGCAGCCGCGGCTGCATAGACGTCGCGGCCGGGCGCTTTCATCTCGGCCGAATCACCACCGAGGAGCCCGCGCCCGCCGGCGTCGGACAATGGAGACGACAAAAGCCACGGCGCCCCGCGGCGCCCCGCTGACCAATTGGGTCCGCTTGCGATAGCGGCCGGGCGAGACGAACGGCACAGTGATGCGCCCATGTGTTTCGGGCCGCCCATCTCGATGGTCCCAATAGGACGGCCGCAGAGGCGGGCGGTTATGACGGCGGACGGGCGGAGCGGCCGGCCCGCCCGCGCGGCGTGACTAACAACGGCGTCCGATCTCGAGATCAAACGCCGCCAAAACTGGCGGCCGACACAGAAATGAAATTAGCCGCCCTTTGCTGGAGCGGGGAAATATTTGTTTCTGGGCCCACGCACCTGTCGCAGGAGAAATAAATGAAGCCGGGAAGCGCAGTGAAAGCCCAGCCGCCGCTCCGTGAGAGCCTTTATCGCCGGGACAAAAACCTCGACACGTACCAGCAGGCCGCACTACTGAAGCAGCCTTTAACGACCACCTCCATCAAAGTCCGCACCGATTCAAACGCAAATACATGCACCTTCAAGGCATCGCCCGAACCGATTAGGTGCGATTCATGGGCAGACAGATCTACGCATCGACCAACCCAAATCAGGAGGTCTTGGGCTGTCCCACACCATGACCCTTTTCGTCCCGGGGCCTACAAGTCAAAGCGCGTTGCATCGGTACTGCAAGGGCTTTCTGAAAAAGGTCGCCCAAAGGGTACAGGAAACCTGAACTTCCTCCCGGCAGGATTACGCGAAAGGTCTTGCGAAATGGCCACAAGGGCTGGCTTCTGGAAGGGTGTACCGGCACGCCTCGGCGCCGGCTCCCTCGCCAGCCCAGCCGTGGGAGCCGGTGAGGGAGCCGGCAGATCACAGGTGCCGGCACCGACGCTCAGCGCCGACACGTCATCACACCCCGCCGCCGCCGACGGCGTGGCCCGCCTCGACGACGATAGCGGCGCCGTGCGAGCGGGTCGGGGCGTCGGGGCCGACGCAGGGGCGCCGGCGGAACGGTCGGCCCACACGCGACCGGCGCTGACCAGCCGGTCCGACCATCGATTGAAACGGCCGGCCGGCGACGGACTGCGACCTGGCCAGTGGCGGGACGGCCGCGGGCGACCTGGGCGGCGCCGGTTGAACAGCGGCCGCCGCTGCAGACCAGGGCCCGGCCTCCACCGCCAGCCCCGCCCGGATGTGCCACTCGTCGGCCGTTGTAGTTCTGTGGACTGACGCCGCTAAGTATCACTTAGCGTTGCAGACCCCGAGCGCCGGTGACAGTCGCACATTGGTCTCCCACCACGAGCGTGGGCTCGCTGCAGTGGCGCTCGCACTGCTCATGACAAGGGAAACGGATCGCTGTCATGGTTCGTGCAAGCGAAAACGGCGCCCTGAAACTGCGGTTTCGCTTTCAACACAGATGACACGGTGTGGAGAAAGCCAGTTGTTTACGAAACCTACCAGGATTGCCAAGCGCTCGCAGGGTCAAACGCAAAGTGGATCATACCAGCCTTTGTTCCTGAACTGCTTTTGTTGCATGCTCTGAATGCATTGTTCCAGGACCTCGATTAAGGCGGTGAGCTCAGGGCAAATTCTCCATAGTCGCAACGATCATATCGCCGCTCAGTCTAAACCTTCCCTTGCCGGTGAGCACCGACGAGAACGGGTCGGGGTTGCCCAACAACTGAGAGTTCGCTGACCACGCGAATCCTGGTGACATTTTTCCTTTTCTTTTGCAGTTTATGAGTCTGGTAAGAGGCGCTTAGCGTATATCTGAACAACGAACAGGACATTTTATTGGCCCTAAATACCGAGAGGATCCTGGTTGTTCCATCGACTCAAAGGGCTTCTCAAGGATTATTCCTGTTATCGAGCGACTGAATAATTGATTGGGGTCCATAACCATGCCAGTGGTCTCTTCAAAGCGTCGTTTACGCTCACTGCTCATTGGCTTGGGAACCGTCTCAAAATTGTGCGGGTACGAGCCATTTTAATAACGTAATCCATACAGGCCTAACACGGCCCAATGGAATGTTGCGAAAAGTACTTCAGAACACTGCTGCGTATAATTCACAACCACCGCCGGCAAACGACGCGCGCCTGCTGTCCGCCATCCACATACACGCATTATCCTTGGCTGTCGTGACGGCGCCGGCGAGATACTGCCCGCGCCAGCCACAGATCATCGCAGCCAAGGCCGACACCGCTGCGTGACAGGTGACAGAGCGGGCCGGCACGGTGTCGGACCCCAACCCAGTTCCGGCGTGGCCGCCGCGCGTCGGCCGCCGCGGATCGGCCGCCCAGCGGCGGCGACGCGCACCTGAAGCGGGCCAACACAAACGGCGCGTCACGACCTCACGCTGGTCGCACGGATGCGCCGACGCAACGGGCGCCGGCCAGGGCTCCGCGACCGTCGCTCTGACCCAGCCATCCATCCAGCGGCCGGTGGACGGCGCCCGCTTGCCAGAGTGCAACCTCTGGTCCGCCCTCGTCGCCGGCGGTGGGTCCACGCGCCCATCACCCGAGCTGGCCGGTGTGGACGCCGGCCGAGCCGTCCGTGGGCGCCGTGTGCCGACGGGTGAAGTACTGCGCCGCTAGTCTGACCGGGACAGGGGCGTGTGAAGTACTGCCCTTCGCAGTACCCCAGCTCCGGTGACCTGACCCGCACGAGCCAGCTCAGCAGAGCACACCACACCGGGCGGTGGTCACGTCATGAGCTGGTCTGACCCGGACAGGGGCGGTGCGTCGCAGCACTGCTCCGGTGACCTGACCCGCCGGGCAGCTCAGCAGAGCACACCACACCGGGCCGGTGGTCACACGTCACGAGCCGACGGCCGGCCCGGCAGCACGTCACGAGGCCAGCTTTTTGTGCGGGGGCGGGCTGACCGGTGAGCGCGCCGCACCGACGAGGGCATGACCTGTGGTTTGACCCGGGCCGGCCGGCGCGCCCCATACATCAGCGGCGCGGCCCGCCCGGCCGGCCCCGTCACGGCCCGACCCGGACCGCGGTGATTAGTTCATTACGCGGCTGGCAGCACATTACGGCATCGGGCCAGGACAGATCGGCGTGAGAAAACGCGTCGCGCGCGGCCCGCCTGTCAGGCTGCGCGACTTTTCCAGCAGGCGAGAGTCGTTAGCGGCCGGAATCGGTCGGCCGGGCAGTGCTCATGGCGGTCACCGTCCCGCCACACGCGCCTCGGCCGGGCCGGGCCGGGCCGGGCCAGGCAGTCACGTCCACATGGTGGGCGGCGACGGTACGGGCACCAGCATGCCAGCAGCCTTCTTCATATCATGCCGCACGCGCTGAGTTCGGGGACAGCCGACGGCCGGTCCAGCGCACAACCACCCCACCCGAAGACGGAACAAAAGCGGCAAGGAATCGCTCACTCGGAGACACGGGAGGCAAACCCGGACGCCGCAATGCATGGATTACACCGTCCGCGCTGTATACTGGCGCTCAGCCCCGGTCGCCTATAGGGCTGATCTCGACAAGGCTGAGCCGGACAGCGACGCATGCGAGCGCCCGCTTCTCGCTCGCCGTGATTAGTATGCACGGGGTACGGCGCATCCGACGTGTGGTTATCGACGGCGCGCTCACACCAACTGAGATGCGCCGCAGGATGTAATAATGGCGAGTCCAGAGCACATGGGGCCGGCGGTCAGCGGTGGTCGGCCGGCGGGGTGGAGAGCCTGACCCCGCACCGGCGGCCGGTTCAGCCATACGTGGAGCAGACTGTTACTCGGGTCTGGCCATCTCTATGGGCCAGCTGTACCCGGAAGCAACGGCACGCAGAAGCAACGGTATCTGCAGGCTGAGAACATCTAACCGATATGGTGCGGTCTTGGCTGAAGCGAAGCGCCATCACATCCAAAACCCGGGGACGGCCTGACATGGTTCACTATCAGGGCTCATTCCCGGCAGCTGCGGCGGACTGGACAGGTGACGGGTCGGCCGTCACCCCGCCCGCCGCCGCCCTACACAGAGCCCGACACCCGACACCGGCCGGCCCCGCTCCCGACACGAGCCGGGCGCCCGCCGGTCCGGGCCGACTCCACACGGACCCGGCCGGCCCGCTCCCGACACGGGCCAGGCGCCCGTCGGTCCGGGCCGACTCCGCACGGGCCCGGCCGGCTCGCTCCCGACAGGGCCGGGCGCCCGCCGGTCCGGGCCGATCCACACGGGCGGCGGACCGGACGGGCCGCGCCGCTCCTGGGGTGACCGCGTGCGAGCGGCGTCGTCAGCTGATCGAAGCAGGGGCCAGGATGGCGGCCGCCTGCCCGGCCGCACCGCGTCACCAGGACCACGTGAGGCGAGGCCCAGCTATGTCCACATACTACACCGCGGAGTAGTAGGATGCACTGGGAGAGCGTCCCAAACAGAGCTATCGGTGCCCGCATTGCAATAGTCGGTCATATTTGGCGCCTGGAAAGGAAAGATAAAGCACCTGTGACCAGAAGGTAGACAGAGCACCTGTACCCAGAAGGGTAGACACGTCTGCACCCAGAGGGTAGACACAGCACCTATACCCAGAGGGGAGACAGAGCGTCCGTGCCCAGAAGGCAGATACAGCGCCTGTACCCAGGGTGTAGACACAGCACCTGTACCCAAAAGGTAGACACAGCGCATATGCCCAGAAGGTAGACACAGTACCTGTACCCCGAGGGCGGACGGAGCGCTCGTACCAGAAGGTGACACAGCGCCTGTACCGAAAGGGTAGACATAGAACCTGTGCTCACCGGATAGACACAGCGCCGGTACCCAGCGGACCGATATAGCGCCTGTACCCAGAAGGTAGACACAGCGCCTGCACCCCGAGAGCAGACACAGCGCCTGTGCCGAGAAGGTAAACACAGCATCTGCCAGGGCGATTCCGGCTGGTTCAATGACCTCAGAGATATATCTGGAGCTGGAAACAAGCCTCATTGGCAGCTCTTGAGCGCTGAGACGATCGCTGTCAGGGAGCTTGTCTGCTATTTGGGAGCGGGATGATCCCCATATGTCAGATCCTAGCGCGGAGATGGAAGTTGTCTGCGAAACGTCCGAAAACGTTTGCTAGTCCTCCGGCGATTGGCACACGTACAATGTGCGTCACGGCTAACGTACGGCGCCACACAAACGCGGCACCGCACGGCTTCCGAAGCTGCCCGCTGTGGCTGGCAGCGGGCGACGCTGTGCGGCTTCTGTCCTGTGGACGACAGCAGGCGGTGCAAACGTCAGTCACTCTGGCTGGCTCTCGTGTGTGGCTACCGAGTCCACCAGCTGTCGGTCACTGCGTGCTTCTGTCCTATCTGGGGCCATTCAGGGGTCCAGAAGAGAGGTCGCCACTGTCTGCTGCCCACTGAGTGCATGCGTGACCCAGGTTCTACCGGGTCAGTCAGGGGGCCCGAAAAGACGGCAGCACTGTCTGCTGTCCAGGGGACTGCATGACCAGTTCGCTGGATCAGAGGGACTCGGAGGGATCACCACCGTGCTGTCCAGTGGCTGCATGACCCTGGTTCTGTCGAGTCAGTCAAGGGGCCCGGAGAGGCGTACCACTGTCCACTGTCCGGTGACTGCATGACCTCGGCTCTGCTGGGTCAGTCAGGGGACTCGGAGAGGTATCACCACTGTCTGCTGTCCAGTGACTGCATGACCCGGTTCTGCGGGTCAGCCAGAGCCCGGGGAGGGGAGCGCCGGTCAGTCTGCGGTCGGCAGTTCAGAGCGCCGTCAGACAGCAGGGATATTACGGGACGACAAGCGGCCGAGCCGGCCCTTGACACGGGCGTGTGTCTGTGTCGGAGGGTGGGCTGGGAACACCGAGTGAGCGGCGGCGTATTTAGAGGCCGTGCACAGACGGTCCCTGCACGGCAGCAGCTCAAGCAGGGTCCCAGCGACGGCAGGGCCACTGCGGTCACCTCCAGCCACATCAATCGTTCTTAATTTACATACACACAGATGGAATCTCATATCAGAGACGCAGCCACCACCGAGCACACAAGATCAAGTCAGAGGTGTGGTGTTGGTTGTCTGGTCGGGAATGTGAGCGTAGAATGAACAGTAACCGTGTATTTATCTCGTCCATCTCGTTTAGATATCATTGGAACTTAACTACTTGCATCACTAATCGTTTCTCTACATCCGGAAAAGAGGGCATCTCAACAGATAAGTGTATCCACCACGACCCACTAATCAAGTGACGAGCGTAATCTGCTCAGGAATGTGAAAAGTATCCAGCACGTTTTTTCAGAAACTTACAGCAGTCTCCACTGATAATTTGGACCCGTGAGTGCATACCGCTCAGAGCTTGCCGTGTGTACCAAAAATACATCACCAGAGTGAGGCAGGCCCAGTTTCAACAC